ATGGTGTATGCATGTGTGTGTATGGGTGTGTAAAAGATGAATTATATAGATACAGCTAGGTATGAGGCATATGAGTGTCAATATATGTAGACAGCTGACCGCATACAAGTCTTATGTGTATGCATGTGTGTTTATATATAGTACATATTCATGTATGTACAATTAAATAGCTACTATCGAACATGTATACAGTGCAGTAACATGTATAAGTGTCCACAATGTATATATATCAGTGCTCAAATGATCATGTACACATTGTGATATGTGTGTGTGTGTTGGTAAACAGTGATACATATACTATGCTAGGCTTGGAAGTTTGGACTATTCTTCTTAGCGCATATCATCTAGGGGTAGGATAATCTCGTGCTAGCATATCTGCTCAGTAAGTTTGTGTGTGTGTGTGTGTGTGTGTGTGTGTGTGTGTGTGTGTGTTTCATGATTATATGTATTATGAAAAAATCGTCGAAAAATAAACAATTACAAAAAAATAAATAGAAAATAAATCTGAAAAAAGTATGTCACTCATGGAGCAGGGTACCATATCAGATTCAATATGGCGACATAAATGCACTGAGACGACAACATAAAAGCAGTTAGACGGCGATATAACAGGTTTAATTTGTTGCTACGAAAACAACGTTACAAACTAAAAGGCCGACTTACAAGCATTACAAGGTACATGTGACAAACCAAACTCTCAATGAGGCGACATCAATACACTGAGATGGAATAATCGGCGACAGAAAGCAAAACATCATCTACATACCTGGCTAATAAAGGGCGAAATAAAATGACGACAAAGTAAGGTAACAAACTCAATTAACTCGACAATAAATTATTTAAAAGACAACATAATAGACTCAATAGATCGTAATAATGAAATAAATTGGCAACATACATAGCTTTTAATTGGGCTAAATAAAAAGTGTAAAAGCAACGTAACCAAATTCATAATCATTTTATGAATGAAAGGAAACCCGATAGACTCTCTATAGGGTGACAGTTAACACTGAAAAAAAACATAACCGACTCTCGATGGTGAAACATAAAACACTGAAAGGCAACATAACCGACTCTCAATGGTCAAACATAAAACACTGAAAAACAACTTAACCGACTCTCAATGGTGAAAAATAAAACACTGAAAGGCAACATAACCGACTCTCAATGGTGAAACATAAAACACTGAAAAACAACATAACCGACTCTCAATGGTGAATCATAAAACACTGAAAAACAACATAACCGACTCTCAATGGTGAAACATAAAACACTGAAAAACAACATAACCGACTCTCAAGGGTGAAACATAAAACACTGAAAGGCACCATAACCGACTCTCAATGGTGAAACATAAAACACTGAAAGGCACTATAACCGACTCTCAAAGGTGAAACATAAAACACTGAAAAACAACATAACCGACTCTCAATGGTGAAACATAAAACACTGAAAAACAACATAACCGACTCTCAAGGGTGAAACATGAAACATTGAAAGGCAAAATAATAGACTATCTTCGGGAAAATTAAAACACTGAAAGGCAAAATAACAGACTCTCTTTGGGAAAAAATAAAACACTGAAAGGCAACATAATAGTCCCTGAAAATGGAAATATAAAAACACTGATAGGCAACATAACAGACCCTTAATGGTGGGGAAATAAAACACTGAAAAGCAACATAATGGACTATCTGGGGGGGGGGGATAAAACACTGAAAAGCAACATAATGGACCCTTAATTGGGAAAGATAAAACACTGATAGGCAACATAACATCAATAGGCAACATTACAGACCCCTTATGGGTAAAATAAAACAATGATAGGCAACATAACAGACCCTTAATTGGGAAAATAAATCATCGAAAGGTAACACAATGAACTCTCTTTGGGAAAATTAAAACACTGAAAGGCAACATAACACTAAAAGGCAACATAATAGACCCTTAATGGGGAAAGATAAAACACTGATAGGCAACATAACAGACCCTTAATGGTGGGGAAATAAAACACTGAAAAGCAACATAATGGACTTTCTTTTGGGGGTGGGGGGGGGGGTATAAAACACTGAAAAGCAACATAATGGACCCTTAATGGGGAAAGATAAAACACTGATAGGCAACATAACACCAATAGGCAACATAACAGACCCCTTATGGGGAAAATAAAACAATGATAGACCATAACAGACCCTTAATGGGGAAAATAAATCACTGATAGGAAACATAGCAGAGCCTTAATTGGGGAAAAATACATAATGGACTCTCTTTGGGAAAAATAAAAACACTGAAAGGCAAAATAATGGACTCTCTTTGGGAAAAATAAAACACTGATAGGCAACATAACAGACCCTTAATGGAGAAAAATACATCACTGATAGGCAACATAATAGACCCTCAATGGGGAAAATAAAACATTGATAGGCAACATAACAGAGCCTTAATGGGGAAAATAAAACACTGAAAAGCAACATAATGGACCCTCAGTGGGGAAAATAAAATACTGATAGGAAACATAACAGACCCTTAATGGAGAAAAATACATCACTGATAGGCAACATAACAGAGCCTTAATGGGGAAAATAAAACACTGATAGGCAACATAACAGAGCCTTAATGGGGGAAATAAAACACTGATAGGCAACATAACAGACCCTTAATGGAGAAAAATACATCACTGATAGGCAACATAACAGACCCTTAATGGTGAAAAATACATCACTGATAGGCAACATAATAGACCCTCAATGGGGAAAATAAATCACTGATAGGCAACATAATGGACCCTTAATGGTGAAAAAAACCTACTGAAAAGCAACATAATGGACTCTCTTTGGGAAAAATAAAACACTGAAAGGCAAAATAATGGAATCTCTTTGGGAAAATTAAAACACTGAAAGGCAACACGAAAGACCATTAATGGGGGAAAATACATCACTGAGAGGCTACATAACAGACCCTTAATGGTGAAAAAAAACAACACTGAAAAGCAAAATAATGGACTCTCTTTGGGAAAATTAAAACACTGAAAGGCAAAATAATGGACTCTCTTTGGGAAAATAAAAAAAACACTGAAAGGCAACATAACAGACCCCTTATGGGGAAAATAAAACAATGATAGACCATAACAGACCCTTAATGGGGAAAATAAATCACCGAAAGGTAACACAATGAACTCTCTTAGGGAAAATTAAAACACTGAGGGCAACATAACACTGAAAGGCAACATAAAAGACCCTAAATGGGAAAGATAAAACACTGATAGGCAACATAACACTAATAGGCAACATAACAGACCCCTTATGAGGAAAATAAAATAATGATAGGTAACATAACAGACCCTTAATGGGGAAAATAAATCACTGATAGGAAACATAACAGAGCCTTAATGGGGAAAAATACATAATGGACTCTCTTTGGGAAAAATAAAAACACTGAAAGGCAAAATAATGGCCTCTCTTTGGGAAAAATAAAACACTGATAGACCCTTAATGGTGAAAAATACATCACTGATAGGCAACATAAAAGCAACATAATGGACCCTCAATGGGAAAAATAAAACACTGAAAGGCAAAATAATGGCCTCTCTTTGGGGAAAATAAAACACTGATAGGCAACATAACAGACCCTTAATGGGGAAAATGATACACTGAAAAGCAACATAATGGACCCTCAATGGGAAAAATAAAACACTGATAGGCAACATAACAGACCCTTAATGGTGAAAATAAAATAATGATAGGTAACATAACAGACCCTTAATAGAGAAAAATACATCACTGATAGGCAACATAACAGACCCTTAATGGTGGGGAAATAAAACACTGAAAAGCAACATAATGGACCCTCAATGGGAAGAATAAAACACTGATAGGCAGCATAACAGACCCTTAATGGTGAAAAAAACCCACTGAAAAGCAACATAATGGCCCCTCAATGGGAAAAATAAAACTCTGATAGGCAACATAACAGAACCTTAATGGTGAAAAAAACCCACTGAAAAGCAACATAATGGACCCTCAGTGGGGAAAATAAAATACTGATAGGAAACATAACAGACCCTTAATAGAGAAAAATACATCACTGATAGGCAACATAACAGACCCTTAATGGTGAAAAAAACCCACTGAAAAGCAACATAATGGACTCTCTTTGGGAAAAATAAAACACTGAAAGGCAAAATAATGGACTCTTTTTGGGAAAATTAAAACACTGAAAGGCAACACGATAGACCATTAATGTGGAAAGATAAATAACTGATAGGCAACATAACACTGATAGGCAAAATAATGGACTCTCTTTGGGAAAATTAAAACACTGAAAGGCAACACGAAAGACCATTAATGGGGTAAATTAAACACTGATAGGCAACATAACAGACCCTTAATGGTGAAAAAAACCCACTGAAAAGCAAAATAATGGACTCTCTTTGGGAAAAATAAAACACTAAAAGGCAAAATAATGGACTCTCTTTGGGAAAATTAAAACGCTGAAAGGCAAGACGATAGACCATAAATGTGGAAAGATAAATCACTGATAGGCACATCACAAACCCCAAATGGTGAAAAAAAACCACTGAAAAGCAAAATAATGTACTCTCTTTGGGAAAAATACAACACTGAAAGGCAACAAAACAGATTATCAATCGGAAAAAAATAAAACACTGATAGACAACGTAATAGACTCTCAATAGGTGGGGGCATTAACGCACTACAAGACAAGCGTAATAAACTCTCAATTGAACGACATCAAAGCAATAAAAAGACAACAGAACGAACTATCAAAGGGGAGATTCAAAAAGGCAACATAATAAACGCCCATTGGGGCGACATAAAAGCACCGAAAGACAATAAGATATCGTTCAAGTGTTAAAGCAGCCACAGAAATGTTTACATCTGTAATCAAAATTGAAACGAATGAAGTTTTAGACATGATTATGTATTAAAACCTAAGAAAATTAGACTTAAGTATTCAAAGCTGGATATAATATAAAGCGTTACTGAATTCTTCTAGTTCAACGCTGTCTCGTTTTTCTCTGATGTTCTGGTCGACGGAAAATGTGTGGTCGGTAACCTTGAAAACTGGTGAGACTTCCGGAACTTGAAACGGTGGATCTTCCGGGTCTAAACCTAAAACAAATGACACACGACTTTAGAACAAGATTATATCACTTTGCGTGGACTCTCAGCAATTATAAACAAATGAAAGATTTCAATTTTGCTGACAAAAGCTGGCATATTCTGCAATACGGCGCAGCATGAATAGTGTGAGTTGTTGTTAAATGTCATCTAACAGGACCGGAAGTGTAACTTCTGTCATTATTAGGTTTTAGGTTTTCAGAGTGACGGAAAGGAAATTTAACGCCGGATACGTATTTATTAACTCCGAAACCGGTCAGACCGAAAGTCAACGAACATTAATTTTGATCATAGCATTGTATACATGCGGAGTGCATGAGCCATCAAGAAATGAAAACAATGTGAAAATCCCATTGAAATAGACAAGAACAAAATCAAAATTCAAATGACAGAATAAAACGTATTCTCATGTACATGTATATAGGGGCACTTATTGAAACTTATAACAAGAAATTTGTCGGTCAGCCAATTAATTTGGAGTAGTGTCCGTTGATATATACAGCTGTGCGGATTTGTAAAGAAATGTTAAACGTTTATTGTCGTTTTGAATTGTTGATCATAACATAAACCCGTACGTCAGATAGTATCCGAGAGGAAATAAAATATAGCCATGGGGACAAGGGGCAGACCATTTCATACAACGGTCTGCTAGAAAATGTCTAGCCGTCCACATGGTTCCAAGGACATGGCCAGTGTTCATGGTCATTTTGACCTATATTTGCTGGTCATATGATTGGGTATACAAAGCCATCATATGGTAACCGACACATTCTATAAAGTCCCTGTTTAGCAAAGACTTTATATTGGAATAGTACTTAGAAGGATTTTCGTTAAGTATGACATAAATTCAATAATAATATTTAGATTTACATGAATTTTTATCCTAATTTTTATCCTAATGTGCACAATATCCACAATAAACAGTTTATGAGATAAAACTTGCTACCAAAAACATAAATACTTTTTTAAACAAACGGTTTTGGAAAAAAAAATTGGCGATCAGAACTGGGACTACAATTTTTTATAACAATTATTATTTACTTTATCAGTANTTTTATAGATTTGTGAAGAGTTTTGTGTCAATGCATAAGACACATATGGAATGTTTGATTTGATTTCGGATCTAAATAAATGCCTTCACACGGATGGAAAGAACGTTTCAGTAATATATGGAGGTAAGAACAAGGAATGTGTTCTTTTAATTCATTCAACCAATGCATTTCATCGGTCGATTCTGTTCTGTTGCTTACTAGCCTTATCAGCGAA